TGAGCTGGTCCCCCAGCCATGGGGGGATTTCATTCTGAGTGATTCTGACCTTGGGATGGAATAAGGCTCATCCTAATTCTGTATGTCCTCCTAAAAGATGTTGGGAGGTAGAGATAATGGTAACTTGGAGACTAGGGAAAAGTTATATTTAGTTTCACGATGACTTTAGTTTTTCTAAGAATCAAAAGAAAAGAAGGTGGAGTTGATGTGTATTAGGATTCTCAGCAATTAAGGAAACAAACAGAAACACTGAGTTTATAAGGAAGAAATTAAAGCTTAAGGAAATAATTTATTACTGTTTGGAGCCTGGATTTTTAGGCCCAAGAGCAGTCTATGTATATTCTAGACTTCATAAAAATATATAGTCCAATTGAAATGGGAGTAGGTATTTAAAGAGGATGAGAAGATAAAAATACCCTTTGTAATAAAAAATTAAAAATAATAAATACTGAGTTAATAAGGAAGAAATTAAAGCTTAAAGAAAGAATTTATTACTGTTTGGGGCCTGAATTTTTCGGCCCAAGAGCAGTCTATGTATATTCTAGACTTCATAAAAATATATAGTCCAATTGAAATGGGAGTAGGTATTTAAAGAGGATGAGAAGATAAAAGAGAATGGAGGTTTTCTGAAGCCATTTGTATATCTGAGTCTACCAGTCCAAAGTACAAACATCCTGAGTGAAGCAGACGATTTATGATACAGAAGTCACAAGGTTCTGCCCCGAGGCAATGGGGGGGGGGAATAGGCAGAAATATTCAGAAAGGCAAGTGTGCATCTGAGTAAAGGGAGAACATGTGGAGAGTATATGTTTTAAACTCTATACACTGCAAAAAGAAAAATATTTCTCAAATGATATCAGATAAACTATCACCTGATAATTATTCTCCCTTATCTTGCAGGAATTGAGAAGTTCAAAGGACAGTACTTCCATAGTCGAGATTATAAGAATCCAGAGAGATTCACTGGAAAGAGAGTCATTGTAATTGGCATTGGGAATTCTGGAAGCGATCTGGCCGTGGAGATTAGCCACACAGCCAAGCAGGTTTGAATCAGCAAATTATTCACTTTGCTTCTCCAAGAAGAAGGAAAGCACACTGGGTCATTGAAAGCTCTTCACTCATAGGATGGTGGGGGAATTTTCCGCTTTACTCCCCAACTGGAAAAAAGAGGCACTCTAATCTTTCAAAAGACAACATGCTTTTCAGTATGAAAGCGTCCACACTGTGGCACCTGCAGGCAGCTTGCCCCAGCCTTTGCATACCGTTAGGCAATACAGAATGATATTTTCTCTAAAGCAATTTCTGTGTCCTTGAGGCATTTTTTAATTTGTTTGTTTGTTTGTTTTCATCATAGATTTCCTTGAGGTTTTCTTGTTTGTTTTCATCAGATTTTGAACTGGAAAGAGTCATCATTATAAATTCCTAGAAAAAGACATGTCATTTTTGTATTTTGTTATTCATGTCTTTACTGAATCATAACTGTCAATAATAGTGAAATATCTGGTTGTTCTTCAGTAACTTTAATTAAGGTGTGCTTCCCCACAAATATGTTTTAAATTTTCTTAATATATTTTTTTTATTGATTTCAGAAAGGAAGGGAGAGGGAGAGAGATAGAAACATTAAGGATGAGAGAGAATGATTGACAGCTGTCTCCTGCACGCCCCACACTGGGGTCGAGCTTGAAACCCAGGCATGTGCCCTGACTAGGAATCGAACCGTGACCTCCTGGTTCATAGGTCCACGCTCAATCACGGAGCCCGGCCAGCCGCGCTGCTTACTGTTTTTTGTCATAAAACCGAAGAATACATCATAGGGTATTTTCTACGCATTTGTCCGTCTTGATACACCTGGGATTAACTCTGCTTTGAGAATTCAAAGAGGAGTTTTC